AGTTGAATTCGACAATCTTAAAGTTGCTAAGTTGAGAAACACTGACCTAAGAGAAGGGACTCAGAGGAAGCCTGCTCTAATCAATCTTATTGGACAGGCACTTAGATACTTAGAATAGCGATCCCGTAGATATCCAGACCCTGAGCCCCATAGGTGACAACAACATTAATCTGACCAAAACTTCAAAAGTGCATGGATGTATATATATATATGCCAGGAAGTAGCTTGTTTATTTCAGTTGGTGGAAGTGACCCACAGCAAAAAGATTTTGAACGTTTCACTACCTTACAATTTGACAAACTATCTTACAAAGACTCTTACAGAGTCTTTTATTGGACTCTGATTTTAACTCTGTATCAAATAGTACTGTTTGGAAATTGTTAGTCCTAATATTAGCATTAAAATTATGTTATGCAAATAATAGATATAAAAAGAAAAGGATTTCATAAAGATAAAAAAATCAGTGTCTAAATGTGAGAAACTGAAGATCAAATATTAATGAATCTGAAGAATTCTTTTTGTGTCTTTTGAAACAATGAATGTGGCTAGTAAAATATAATGAATTCTTCTAACTAAGATTGTTTTCCCCCTTTTTGTAAAAAAATAAAGACAAATTTGATGTTTTCCACAGTAATTTTCCAAAACACTTACCTTTTAAAAACATCTAAAAACTAAATAATATGCATCATAATGGCTGCATTAGATGGCAGGATACACATTTATCCACAAATACCTGTACATAGTCATTCCCTTCCCACATCCTGTTATTAGTAGAAGTAGGAAACCTGCAATCTTGGAAAATAATAGAGGAAAGAAATGAAGATGTTTCTCATCATACACCAACATTGTCTGTAGACTTTTCATTTGCTGCTTAGGAGACTAGGAAATTTGAGCAGGACCACCGGGAAGACAGACCTTTTCCCAATGATCCTATTTAATAAGGCTTGTTTCACAGTTACATTAGCAGAAAAAAACCCATAACAACCTGCTCTGGCAGAAAAATAGTTGGGATTCCTCAAGTGTTGAGTTGCAACTTTAGACAATGGCCACCTTCACACAACACTGAGTCTATTCTTAACCTCTGCAAAGCAGTTTGAAGCTGCTGCCATTGTGATTGTCTTCACCTCTGCCAACAATGAAATGCTGAAAGCCAGGAAACAACATGTCCTCCCTTCATCTGATTGGCTTGGAAGTATATAAAAAATTTTCAGTCAGTACTCGCCCATTGACTTCTGTGGCTTCTTGGAGTAACAAAATTTCCCTTATCATTCTCTCCACAGAAAAAGGGAAGTACTAAATTGTGACAGCCTGTCCCTATACCATTTTTACTACAGGCTTTATGTGTTTTATCTGTATTATTGCATGATGGCAAAACTCCTCGGCTGCAAATATTTTGTATGTTCACTGAAAGCTATGATGAGGGCTGATGCGGATTTGCAAGCCCCCACTTTTTCCAACACCCAACTATAGAGGCTCAGGGCCTATGTAAATGGGAGAAAAGAAAGAAAGAAACAAGCCCAAAATTTTGTCTAGAACAATTAAATGGGTATTTAGAATCAGGATAATGTCATACTGGAAGATGAGCCTCCCAACACTCCCCTGCCCCAGTTCAGAAAATATGGAACATGATACTGGAGTAACAAACGAGTATGAGTAGTACTAATAGTTACAGTGTGGTTGGATCAAAGCCAAAAGGAAGCTCAGCTGTTGATGTTCCCAGAAGCAAAGGGAAAGTTATTGAACTTTATTGAACTGAATTAGTATGTAACCATAAATTAAAGCAAACTTCAAGTTTTCACAGTAGAAAGGTCAAGATTAAACACTGAAATAAGTTAGTAAGTAAATAAAAATACATATTCTAGTATTCAGCAAATTGGAATGGATTGAAATCAGGGGTAGGTTTCTACCGGTTCTGTCTACCTCTGTAGAACCAGTAGCTCTAAAGAGCAGCAGACACAGAACTGGTTTTATGTCTGCTGATGTTTTTGCCCACATGCCCACCTGGGCTCTTACTTGATCTTTATTTCCTGATTTTTCAACTTCAGCTGCCAAACAGGCACAGCTGCAGTTAAAAAAACAAGAAAAGAGGGCTGTTTCAAAGGCTGTTTCACAGTGTGCTAATGATGTGCTAATGGTTCGTAAATCCCGGTAATTAACCCTTTCGTATCCCACCCGATTGAAATGGATCATTTCATAGCCTCAGCTCTTCTATTGCAGGCAAGAAAATAACAAAAGAAATGGAATAGCCATCATTATTAACAAATGGCTATCAAAATTAGTGATCTGAAACAATCCCAGAAATGATACAATGATCTCAAAATCTAAGGTAAGCCAAACAAATGTTCCAATGATCCAAGTTCCCGATGAATCTAAAATTGAATATACATCTGGATTACAGTGAGTGATCAACACATCACTCCATCCCAAATGTAATACTAAACATTGTATTAATGTTAATTAATTCATGTAATGTTAATGATGACATCAGATTAAATGACATCTGAATAATGGAAAAATCTTCCCAATCTACAGAACAAAGAGAAGACAATAAATTTCCAAGAAAACTCAGTCTTTATAGCATATACTGTTCCTTATTCCAATAGCTTAAAAGACAAATCTATACATGGATATTACTGAATGCACAATATCAACATTAAACTGACCATATACTCTGCAAACACAGTAGAAAAAGCTCAATGCAGTCAGCAAAAATAGGAATTGCTGCTAATTGTAGCTCAGATCATTATAATTTCAGAAAAATGAATAAAATCATGAGACCAATAACTTGTATTATGATTATGTGGTAAAAGTAAATTATAGATTTAATAGATGAGATTTGATAAATAAGTGCCTGCAATATTGTAAATTGAAACCACCACTCCTGTTGCCAAAAGATAAATATACTGCATTATCAAACATTCCTTCCAGTCTTGCCTATTAAAATGTGCCAAAGTGGGTCAACATAAATATATTTCTACAGACTTATATGTCAATATAAGTCTGTAGAACTTTTTCTAGTTCCTATCCTGGCAATCTTGTATGAATAGACAGCTTTTTTTCATAACTCACATTTATTTGAATGATTTAGTTTTATTTAATATTTACAAAAAGGTAACGCAAATATTTTTCCAAGTAGTCATTGTTAATTAACTTCAGGCCTTAATATATGACTCTGTGATTGCCCAAATCTAGAATTACTAGAGTTCATGGCCTGAATCAATCTTGCTGTATAGCTTTTTCCGCTTCATTTTCTTTCTTTCTAATGACAGCTTTATACTATATATGGCTTCCCCCCACCAAGATACAGTTCTTGTGGGATTAGTACCAATTACTATCCATTTATCAGTTGTGGAGTTAGAGATGACCTTAGAATTCACCTAATCCATGCTCCTGCTAAATGAAGGACTCCATCTTTGACAGATGGTCATTCTGCCTCTGAAGACCTCCAGCAAAGTAATTATCACTTCATGTGGCAACCTGTTCGGTTGCTGACAACTCATATAGACAGACAGTTCCTCCTGCTAGAATCTACTTAGTTTTAACTAAATTAACCAGCTGAGTCCCAATAATAATTATACTTTTTAATTGTTGTTTGTTTTAAATTGTGCTTGTTGCTTGTTTTAAATGGTGAACTGCCTAGAGCCCTAATGGAATCTAACAGTTTCTGAATTGTATAATGACAACAATAACAACTCTCTATCTACTAGGATAATAGAGAATGAGTCCACTCCCTCATTTATGTGATTAACAATATATTGCAAGTCATATAATTTTGTAGTTATGTTGCTCCTAATTTGCTTTTAATCACAAGGTTTATATATTACCTTTTTTCTGTCTCTTACATCTGTGTTTTCATAAATTGAAATTTATTCTATATAATTTATTATCATCTTCATTAAATAACAACAAAGTTGTAGGAGATACTCAGAATCCAGCAGGTCTAATATTTCAAGTAATATTTCTGGTAAATGTGTTTCTTGTCTCATAGTGATGTGAAATTGTGCCATCAATTTTAAGGAATAGTAGATAAAAGAATCTTTAGGGCTACAAAAAACAAAAGCAGCCACTGGCTGTTGGCCCTGATGTTCTGGATTACTATCCCTCTTAGAGATAAAATTAGGGGAAGTTTAATGTAATTTAAAATTAAAATCCTGACATTTTCAGGCTGCAAGAAGCCATGTTGCAATTTATCACACCGCACCCCCATTCCACTTCAGAAAATGTTTTACTTGAAATAAATCCATTTAAAGTAAAAATGTACAATCTATTATTCATGTGAGACCAATAAAGACCCACCAAATTTGTATACCCCTGCTTCATCTTCTCCATTTACCAATCAATTTTTTTCTTGCCTGGAAAGGAGGAAGTTAAACTGTGAATGTAAATCTTAATTGTTTGAATCTATTTTAACTTTAGACTCCCTGGTTATTTTAGCAGAAATAGGATTATTCAGTGTGTGGGTGTTATTCTATCACTGAGTGTGTTCATATTTTGAGTATTTGGGGAAGAGAATTCAGATTTCATTCCACATTGACTATTTATTTTCAATTGTAAATAGTCGAACTCCATTTTATTGGAAATATTAATGAAGAGAGAAATAACAGTTCCTCAAGCATCCCATTCTGGTATAATGTGCTGTTTCTTTAGCAAATTAACGAGATATATTAGAAACTTGTTTTTAAAATATCAGAAAAACAATAGTGCTATGACTCAATTAGCAACATATTTTTAAAGGCAGAAATATATATATATATATTAGACCTGCTGGATACTTAGACTAAGATTTTGTTTGGATTATTTAGGAATCATTTACTTGCCATTGAAAGGGTTTGATTTTTCTAATATTTTGCAATAACAAAATTCCTCCTCACAAAGTTTGTTCAGTGGTAAACCTTTATTAAAGTAGACACAGCACCAGGCTGAAACAAGTCTAAATATGTAACATTGTTTTTAATTAAATAGTTTTTAACCTCTGTTAAGAAAAAGACCATTTTTCTTACCTGTTATCATGCTTGATATAATTAATGGCAATATGATGAGTTTGAGCATTCGCATCAGAACTTCTCCAGGAAATGCAAAGTAAAATTTGTCCAGGTTGGAGAGCTTTCCATATTCCCGAACAGCAACTCCTAGTCCTATTCCTAAAATGTGAAATAAATTACAAAATAAGACATATTAATAAAAAGAGACAAAGGAAACAAAGGATTGTTCAAGACTGTGTGTGACTTTGACCCCGCCTTTTCCCACCTCAGTCCCAAAGAGTCACACTACAGGGACTGCAACATTTGCTGCACAGATCTAACTTCAAATGTGAAGAGCAATTTTTAATTAAGGTATATGGCCTTGCCATTATATTTTAACACCTCCCTAGGCATTCTGTCTGGGGAAATGAAATATACAAATGTTCAGTTTACTGAGCTGTAAGATTAGCTTGATTATCTGTATTGAGTGTTATTTCCTGCAATCCATTTGGATCCTAATGTGTGGTAGGGATCAAAGTTTTGCTCAGAGCCATTTGCAATTTAGTCATCAATATTAGTAGCCTGAGGCAAATGGAAGTAATGTTTGCCAAACAACAGAGGCTGAGAGTTAAGGTTACCTTTAAATTCCTGCTTTATTTATCTTATAGTTTTCAGATTTTGAACTTAAGATTCCAATTGATGTGTATGTAATGTTATTTGTGTGATTAACATAAACTGACATACTTTAGATTAAGAACATTTCTTATTTTAGCTGGCTATTTTAAAGAATATAATTTAATGTTAGTGTATATGATTGACCCATATTTTAACAGAGAAATAAAAGTTGCACTTATTTGTAGGTGTTTCCTGTTGAAAATACATGGGCACTGGGCAGGAATTATGGGGCAGTGTGTTAAGAATGGGCCCTCATCGTTGGGTTCATTATGAAAAGAACCCAAGATTATTAAAATAGCTGGAATCAGACAATATGCTAAGCTAAAATGTATGTTTTTTTTAATGTGGTTTAATATGAAATATCTGAAATTTACAGTGTCGTATCTACAATGTAATTAAAAGATTGATTGGTATAATCTTTTGTGAAATTACACATAATTTGGACCTATGGAATTCTTTTTTCTTTTTAACTCAGTCATTAATAACACACTTTGTCTTTAATGAGCTGATTGGGCTAATTAAATTTAATCACAGATAATACTTGTACTACTAATATTTTTGGTTTTAAAGGTACAGATGTGTAAGACAGATATAGTTTCAATTATGTAACACTTTTTCTGGCAATTTTCTCTACTGATTTCCATAGGAGTTTCCTAAGCATATAAATTTACCTAAAGACAGATTAATTCGGGCACAATAAATTAAAATATTCTTCTTCTTCTGATTTTTCCTACCATTATCTTTAACAGATAGCTGAAACTCAATAAATGTAACTCTGTTTTAACAGTAAACTTAACTAAATGTTTATTCAACACCAACTATCTCTATATGGTAGAAACTGCAATAGCTGAAAATAAATTCTGTAAAATGCCAAATATATTTTAGAAATCCCATGATGGACACAAAAGCATCACAAATTTCATTTCAGCTGCTTGACTTTTATTATACCATAAGTTTGTTCTACTGACATATATTTTTCTTAACTGTTCCAATTGTTTAAAGAACTACAAATGTAAACTACTTTGTTAATATTTGTACTGAACTAGATGATGGTGACTTGGCTCTTTTTCAAATAGGAACATAAGAATAGGAATTTTGGGTTTATAAATAATCATCTTTTATTAATATTTTTTATTTATTTTTATTTATTTTATTTTATTTGGTTTGTCAACTGCTTACAAGATAATAGGTATAAGTAAAAACATAATTATGAATACATGGATACATATAAGAAAAATAAAAGAAACAATAGGACAGGGACGGTAGGCATGTTGGTGTACTTATACACGCCCCCTACAGACCTCTTAGGAAAGGGGTGAGGTCAATAGTAGAAAGTCTAAGGTTAAAGTTTTTGGGGTTTGGGGAAGGAATCACAGAGTCAGGTAGAGTATTCCAGACATTGACCACTCTGTTGCTGAAGTCGTATTTCCTGCAATCAAATTTGGTACAGTTAACCATGAGTTTGTATCTATTGTATGCTCTTGTATTGTTATGGTTGAAGCTGAAGTATTCATTGACAGGTAGGACATTGCAATGTATGATTTTATATACTATACTTAGATCGGACCGAAGGCGGCGTAGTTCTAGAATTTCTAGGTCTAGAATTTCAAGTCTGGTGGCATAAGGTATTCTGCAATGAGTAGAGGAGTGGAGAACTCTTCTTGTGAAATATTTCTGGACTTTATCTTCTTCATCTAATTTATAATTTATACTTCTTTATCTAATTGACTTTGTACTTCATGAAATAAATCTATACTTTTAATTCAGATTCTGAAAAAAGGTAAACCATGGTATCTAAGATATTTACTTCTTTATAAGATAAACCAAATCAAAGTTTCATCAAGCATATCTCCGTTTATCATAAAACTAGATCATAAAACTAATCTAATTATGCCAGCCTCCTCCTTCCAAATGGAATCTAATGAGGATATGAATACAACACTCCTCATTTTGATATTTTTCACCTTTTCCTTTCTATTTTCTAGCGACTTTCCTCTTTGCCAGAAAATTAACTGATAACAGGAAAGAATTCTCATCAATTACTTGTTAAGCTTTTGAAAGAATGAGAATTAAAGCAAGCTAAAATGAAAGAAATAGAAACATTGACAATTGATGTGGAAATATATTTAGAAATTGTATCAAACGATTTAGCCTTTGTTTAAGTTTAAATTTCTCATTGCATTTCTAGAAGAGGCACAAAGCATTTATTTTCAGTAAAACCGAACAGCTGTATTTTTGAGATTAGCATAATCTACCTGAAGAGCCATAGAAATCTCATTTAATGTAACAAGGAAGAATGGAGACACTGAAGAAAATAATTGACATCTTGGTAGACAGCTGTAAAATGACTCAGATGAGTTTCGAATTACTCACATTCAACCCCACCCCATTTTCTGTATTTCATTACAATTTCTTTATCCCAATTTAGCTATGCTTTGATTTCCAAAGTTACAATTACCAAATCTTCCACAATAACAAGGTGGACGAAGCATGGTGAATCCACAAGCACATTATAAACATGGATCCTGTCTATGCATCGTATGTAGTTGCCTCTTACACTCATTGTACAAAAGGGCATTAGAAAAATGTGCCCTGTTCACGATCCAACATTGTACAAGTGGTCTTCAACTTACACGATTACAATGGTTCATTTAGTGAACATTCAAAGTTACAATAGCATTGAAAAAAGTGACTTATGATTGTTTTTCACATGACCATTGCAGCATCCCCAAGGTCACATGATCAAAATTTAGCCGCTTGTCAACTAACACATATTTATCATAGTTGCAGTGTCTTAATGCACCTTTTGCAACCTTCTGAAAAGCAAAGTCATTGGGGAAGCCAGATTCACTTCATAACTAACTTAGTAACTGCAGTAATTCACTTAACAACTGTGGCAAAGAAAGATTGTAAAATGATGCAAAACTCACTTAACAACTGTCTTGCTTAGCAACACAGTTTTGGGCTCAATTGTGGTCGTAAGTCGAGGACTACCTATACAGGAGTATCACTCTATGTGCAAAATAAACATCTTTCTACTTTTTAGTATCTTTCTTCTGAATATATCATCTTATATTTAATAGTATAATTTGTTTTTCAGGAGGTCTATGAATGTTTATATAATTATATATCTAGAGAATGTATTTTCTACTCTGCAATAAAATATACCTGTTTTCTGTTTCTCTTCCTTCTGTATGATTAGACAAATGCCCCTTGAAACATTATAGTTCAATTCTGTTAGGAGCACTGTCTATACATCTTTGGAAACGTGCATTCAGCACACTATAGGCGAAAAGTTGTATATCATACAGTAGTTTGGAATCAATGGGGATTTACCAGTGACTGTTTTATTTCCAGGGAGAATTTAACAAAATCTGCCTGGAGCTTGATATACAACCATTCGTTTAACTGCTGTTCAAAGTTACAACAGCACTGAAAAAAAGTGACTTATGACTGGTTCTTGAAGTTACGACCATTGCAGCATTGCCATGGTCACTGGATCAAAAATTGGGTGTTTGGAACTGGCAAATATTTACAACACTTGCCACATCTTAGAGTCATGTGATCACTATTTGCACTATCCCATCTGGCTTCTGAAAAACAAAAATCAATGGAGGTAGCTTGATTCCACATGATTCACTTAAAAACTGCAGTGAATTTGCTTAACAATCACGGCAGAAAAGGTAATAAAATTGGGTATGACTTATTGAACCACCTTGCTTAACAATGGAAATTCTAGTCCCAATTTTGAGGACTAGCTCTTTGTGGTAGACAGGAGGAGACAAGTTGTGTTTTTTTTTTCTCCTCCAGGTTTTCGTCACTGGAAAGAACCTGATTCTTTTCAAGCCTTCACATTCCTAGTTGAAAGACAGAGGAGGGAGGTGCCTGGCTATCATCTGCCAATTTATCCTTCTGAAATCTACCATTACACTATCTTTTGCATTGAAGTATTGCAAAAAATCAAATGTATTCATAGATGTATCAGCAAATCCTTTTGAACTTAGCGAGACTGATAACACCGCAAGGTTGCACATCAGTGCACACTTAATATGCACCCTCTGCAGCTGGAAAACAAAATGTTCAACCAACTCTCTTTCAGCTGCTATTCACTAACATTAAGGAAATAAAGAATAAACAATGTTTTGAGTTTTAATCTCAAAAAAGTGTGGTGAAGTTGAAATTTGACAGATGTGCAGATTTTGAAATAAACTGAGTTATAAAATGTTTAATATTGTAATTTGTAATATTGAAGGTACACTACAGATAGTCCTCAACTTATGACAACAATGGAGCTCAAAATTTATGTTGCTAGGCGAGACAGTTTATAAGTGAGTTTTGCTCTATTTCAGTTCTTAAGTGAATTACTGCTTATCAAGATAGTAACACGGTTGTTAAGTGAATCGGGCTTCCCCAATTGACATTGCTTATCAGAGGGTCACAAAAGAAGATTGTATGACTCTAGGACACAACCATCCTAAATAGTTGCCTCCACTGACTTTTCTGTT